CATATATCTTTTTCTTTCTGTACAAGGTTTTGTTTTACATTACTTTGTATTTTAGATGGATTTGGTTTCGTGTTTTGGAAGAGAAAGCAACTGTGGAACGAAATAGGAATACACACATAGATAGATAGATAAACACTGATTTTTATTTTATTTTTTTCTTCTTTCTTCTTTCTTTTCTTTTCTTGCTTCCTTTTTTTTCTTTTTTCTTTCTTTTTTCTTTTCTTTTTTCTTTCGTTTCTTTATTTTCTTTTCTTGTTTCCTTTCTTTTTTTTTCTTTTCTTTCTTTTCTTGTTTCCTTTTCTTTTCTTTTTTCTTTTCTTTTCTTTTCGTTTCTTTTTCTTTTCTTTTTCCTTTTTTTCATATCTGATATTTTGATAACCATATACCAGTAAAGTGACAAGAGATAATTATTGATATCAAAATGATTTTCAGGGTATATTTAAAGCGAGCACACGTAATCACGGATAAAAATGATATAAAAAGAATATATAGAATATTGATTAATGCATTGGTATCAAAATAATTTCAGCGTTTATTAGAAGCGATCGCAACGTACACAAGAATTTAAAAAAAAATATTACGAAAAGACACGTGACGTCCATTGAGGAATATTTCCAAACATCGTATACCAGTAGACTCACAAAAGTATATCAAAATACAAAAAGAGATTCCTGGTACTTTGATACCACAAGAAATACCACAGAAATGTTGAGGTCTGTTGCGACAATCACCAGAAGCCAAGAGAGAAAAAGTTCTGTATAACATTTTTGATATAACTTTGTGCTTTTTCACCCTCGCTCGTTGTTATGGCTTCTGTCGTATAACAAAAAGGGTTGGGATTGACTTTTTGGATAGACTGACTTTTTGGAGAGACTGACTTTTTTGGATAGATGACTTTTTGATAGACTGACTTTTTTGGATAGACTGACTTTTTGGATAGACTGACTTTTTGGATAGACTGACTTTTTGATAGACTTTTTTGATAGACTGACTTTTTTTTTTGGATAGACTGACTTTTGGAGAGAGACTTTTTGGATAGACGACTTTTTGGATGACTGACTTTTTTGGATGACTGACTTTTTGGATAGACGACTTTTTTGGATAGACAGACTGACTTTTTGGATAGACTGACCTTTTTGGATAGACTGACTTTTTGGATAGACAGACTGACTTTTGGATGACTGACTTTTTGGATAGACAGACTGACTTTTTTAGACTGACTTTTGATGACTGACTTTTTGGATAGACTGACTTTTTGGATAGACTGACTTTTTGGATAGACAGACTGACTTTTTGGATAGACAGACTGACTTTTTGGATAGACTGACTTTTTGAAATAGACTGACGTTTTGGATAGACTGACTTTTTGGATAGACTGACTTTTTGGATAGACTGACTTTTGGAAAGACTGACTTTTTGGATAGACTGACTTTTTGGAGAGACTGACTTTTTGTCATGTTTGTTTATTTATCTCTATCTATCTATCTATCAATCCATGTTTCTATCTTTCTTTCTTTTTATATATTTATCTACTAATCTATCTAATTGTCTATTCATCTATCTATCTGTCTATCTATCTATCTATACACACACACACATAAATACATGCATACACACACACACACACACACACACACACAACACACACACACACACACACACACACACACACACACACACACACACAACACACACACACACACACACACACACACACACACACACACACACACACACACACACACACACACACGCACACACACGCACACGAACACACACACGCACACGAACACACACACGCACACGACACACACACACACGAACACACACATACACACACACACACACACACACACACACACACACACGAACACACACACACACACGAATACACACGCATATATGTGTGTGTATGTGTACGCATATATACGCGGATATGGAGAAGGGCAGAAGAAAACCCACAGACACGCACGCACACACACATACATACACCCCCTCTCAGAGCCAAAACACTTCCTCTCGCACCAACCCTTTCCCTTGCTCTCATCTTCCATGCACTGTGCGGTACAAAACATCAAGGGAAAAATTGCGTTATCTCTATGCATGGGGTGCAGGGCGTTGAGAGAAGGATGGGCGTTGGATGGTGATGGATGGGCGTCTCATATATACGCCCTATGGGGGAGAGAGAGGGAGAGAGAGAGAGAGAGAAAGGGTGAGAGGGAAGGGAGTGGGAGGGAGTGGGGGTGGAGTGGGAGGGAGGCGGGAGAGTGAGAGGGGGGAGGGAGAGAGAGAGAAAGGTGAGAGGGGAGAGAGAGGAAGGAGAGAGGAGGGGAGAGAGGGGGGAGGGAGGAAGAGTGAGAGGGGGGAGGGAGGGAGAGAGAGAAAGGGAGAGAGAGGGGGGGAGGGCAGGAGAGAGGGGGTAAAGGAAAGGAGAGAGAGAGAGAGATGATAAGGATGATAGAAAAAGTACCAATAGTAGTAATAATGACAATGATGATAATAATAATAGTAATGATAATAAAAATAATGATAGTAGATAGTAATGATAAGGATAATAATAGCACCCATAATGATGATACCAGTAATAATAATGATAGCATTANT